AGGGCCCGGCCGCCCTGCGAGCCTGCTCGGGACGGACTCCCTGGGTCTGGCCATTGGCTAATTCTTAGGGACCGATTGTCATGCAATAGAGGCTGCCCGGGCCTGGACGCCCTCGGCCGGGTAACTCCGATTCCCACGGAGGACGTTCCCCTGGACCGAGCATCCGACGCGGGGAACTGGCAGGAGCCTGTGAATTAGCAGGTTCCTCGGCGCGGTCCCTCGGGTCTCGCGGGGCAGTGGGTCCTGAGTGGGGACATGGCGCCTCCACCGAGCACCCTGCTTTTCACGCGCCGCCCCCCCCCACCGCTTTTTACCCCCGACAGTCAGCCGCCTCCTTACCGGGAGGCACCCTGAACTCACTTCCCCTCTTACATTTAAGAAGATGATGGGATCCCCCCTGCTGTGCACCCACTAAATAGAACGGGGTCCCAGCATCGGAGAGAAACGACGCTTCCAGCCGAGCGTGGCTCTGAGTCTCATGATTGTAGAACTGGACGTCTTTCAAGGTTATCTCACCCGAAATCGCATCTTACCGAGGCGAACCGGGTCCGAGGGAAGTCACGTGACTTGCCCGAGGTCGCCGCCAATCATCCTGAGCAGTTTTCAGGCTGTGGTCAGGGAGTGTGTGCCCTTTCCCACCGTCACCGCCTTCCGGCCAGGGATGCTGAGCAGAGGACCCGGGAAGCCCGGACCTGCCTGGCGGTAGCGCTGCAGACAGCAGTCCCGGCGCAGCCTGTCTTTGTGATTGTGTTTTGTTGTGTTGTGTTGTTCGCATCTAGACTTCGGGCTCCTGGAGGATAGTCCACGTCTACTCTTGAGGATCCTCTCCCCGGACTCGGAGCACAGCAACACCCTTAATGATCATCCTCTGCAGGGCAGGTAGGCTCTTGGGATGTATTTTTCTTTCTCACGTTTAAATGGGGGCGGGGGGGAGTACAGTGTGTTTTCAGAAAAACCCCTGTGGGCGGGGTCGGGAGCGTGAATTCCTTGCCGAGGGAAGGAGGCGCCAGCATTGAATTGATTGCTTACCGATATTACAGCTGTTTGAGGCTGGGCACCTCAGAGGAGCCTGTGGCCAGAGTTCTGGGCAGCACTGCCATTGGAAGACAGGTGTCTGAAATGGTGCCTGTGCGCTTCCAAAGTGGGGGTGGGCCAGTTTCCTTTGAAGCTAGCTTTTTTTTTTTTTAAAGAATATATTTTTATTGATTTCAGAGAGAGGAAGAGAAGGATAAAAACCCCAGTGATGAGAGAGAATCATTGATGTGCTGCCTCCTGCACGCCCCCTATTGGGGATGGAGCCCACAACCCAGGCATGTGCCCTGACCAGGAATCAGTGTGACCTCCTGGTTCATGAGTCCATGCCCAACCATTGAGCCACACTGGCCAGGCTGAAGCCAGCTTTTGAGGAGTATTCCATAATTTGAGATAACAGTGGTATTCCCCCCCCCACACACTTTGTTCCCCACTTTTAAATTTCTGTGTGGCCCTGCACTTAATATCTTACAGTGCCACCATTTTTACTTGGCTTCTAGTAGAAGTTGTCTAGGAGAAAACGATTCAGGAGCTGTTTGTCTTGTTATCAGAATAATCAGATAGTAACGTTTCATTGCCGGAAAGGACTCTAACCCAGGGCTGCCCTGGGAAAGGCCCAGCAAGGCAGCTACAGAACGAGGCCTTCGGGCCTCAGGCCAGGGCTGCTCCCCTCATTCCACTTGGGCTTCCCTCCCCCCTCTCTCACTGTCCATTGCCTTCCCCTGCCCTTGGTGTCACCTTGGATTTCTGTGTGCATGGAGTTATGACCTGCTGTGGTTCCTTCCTACCCTCAGAGCGTAGTGTGACGTCCAAATCCAGGCTCAGTCTTTCCCCAGCCTGGCTATTTTTCACGTTTGTGTTTTGCAGGTGTGAGAAGATTGCAGGTACGTTACAATCATGGTGCAGAAGTACCAGTCCCCGGTGAGGGTGTACAAACACCCCTTCGAGCTGATTATGGCTGTGAGTACCGCGCTTGTCACTTTCCTCTCTGGTTTCTTATGTTTTTAAGTGTTTGGATTTGATGATCTATAAACGGATTTGTTGTTTGTCTCCATTGCTCCCTTTGTACTTTGTGTTGTGTGCTTATGAACTGTATCTAGATTCTGTGAGATGTTTTTAAACTCTAAGTCTCTGGAAATCAAAATCTGCACGATTGTTTTTCAGACACGCCCCTCAGGGTAACGTCTGAATTTGAGTTGGTTCTCCCTTTGAAAACACAGAAGTGGGATTCTGACTAAATGCTTCTTCCTCTGGGTTTTGCTCTGTTTTTTGTTTGTTAAAGTGGAACAAGGATTCGGAGAGGGTTTCCCCTCCGCTGCCCTTTCGGAAGAGCGCTGTGGTCATGGGTGAATTCCTTTACCTGCAACCGAGCACCGTACGATGGAGTTGAATCGACATTATTCTGATTCCTCTGCTGAATTAGTGTTTGCCCCTCGTATCAAGTTTATGAGTCATATTAGAATTCCAACAATGGGGTTACTAGTCTTTGTGATTTACCTGAAGAGTGTGGCTGAAAATAAGCATTTCGCTAGATGCAAAAAACGCAGACCATTTCCAGTGCTTTCAGATCACTGTAGGTGTTCCTGCCCTTCTGTTCAGTGTTGCTGTTAAGGTCTAACACGCACACAGGAAATGCTTCTGGCCTGAACATGTGCCCTGAGGACGGTGTGAGCTTGAACCAAGGTCGGGAACCACAGCATACCAGCCCCCTGATAAGCCCCACTGGGTCTCTCTCAGCCCCCCTCCCTCACCCCCCCACTGCAAGCACGCGGCTGGATGCTCTCTTTCTGTTCTATACACATCGAAAGTCAGGTGTTTAAGCCCCTCGATTCTGTTCTGCGTCGTCGGTGAGGTTTATCCAGATCAACCCAGTTTTGAAAAACAAAAATTCAAGCCCTCTCAAGGGAATAATTTAGGGTTAGGGAGTGAGATACAGTTTACTTGGCGTGAAGTGGTCACTGGTAGGTGTACAGTTTGATCAGTTTTGACAACAGAGTGGCCACACCTCTGCCAGGATCAGACCCTTTGCACCCGTTCGTTCCCCCAGGAAGTGCCCTTGGGCCCCTCTGCCAGGTGTGAGGCTTTTGTTTGCTTCTCTTCTGGTCTGATTTTAGCTCCCTGTTGCCCTTAAGGGCCAGAGCTGTGCAGTGTTTATGGCAGCAGCTTATTGAACGGCTCGCTTCCTGCTTGCAGGTCTGTGTGCTGGTTTAGCTTTTGGTTGTAAGAGCAGAGAACCCACTCCAGGGAGCTCCAGGAGGAAGAGGAGAGGGGAAGGGGAAGGGGAGGGGAGGGGAGGGAGGAGGGGGGGAGGATTGTTAGGCTGGTGATAGGAATGGTGCGGAAATGCAGGAATGCGAGCTGGAAATGCAGGAATGCGAGCTGGGAGGGGGTTCCTGCAGTGCTGGGGCCTCAGCAACCGTCTCCCTGGAACTTCACCCCGCGGTGGGCCTCTGTGTGCTGAGCCTCTCCCCACCACCAGCTGCTGCTCTGCCCACTCTGCGTGCTCCCTCCCCTGGGTGTCAGCCCACGTGCTGTGTCAGCTGCTCCAACCCCGCGGCCCCCATGCCGTGCGTGGCCTTCCTTGCTGCCTTCTTTCAGTTTCTGAGTGGCCATTGCTTGTCATGCTTCCTAGTTGAGATTCTAGTGAGACTTGGCCTGGTCATCTTCCCCTGGACCGAGGCAGGGACCCAGGTCACTGGCTGCTTCTCACATCTTCTGTCCTGCAGGTCACCCTGCATTCTTCTGCAGACACTGTTTCCATTGGCCAGCCCTGTTCCAGCCATCTGTGCGCTGGCGTGACCTTCTGAACGCCTTCGCTGCTTCTTCAAGGTCCTCCGTGTCCTACCCTCTCTGCCCAACCTTTTTTCACATATTATGCAAAGTTCGCAACACAGACACTAAAGTCTTCTCTGTGCCGGTTTGCCACTCACAATGTCGTCTCCTGCCCTCCCCTCTCTTTTGATACTTCCTTCCTTGTCTTCAGGGTTTGCCTTTCCCCATCTGTCTCTGGGAATATTTTTTTTTTCTTAATCTTCACCCAATGATATTTTTTCTATTGATTTTCTAGAGAGAGTGGAAGGGGGGAGGGGAGAGACAGAGAAGGAGAAACACCGATGTGAGAGACACATCGATGATCAGTTGCCTCCTGCATGTGCTCCTGACTGGAATTGAACCCAAGACCCTTCCGTCTGCAGGCTGATGCTCCAACCACTGAGCTAACCAGCCAGGGCAGTCTGGGAATCTTAGTCTTCCTGACCCACCCCTTCCCTGCACCCTGAGAGGCCTCACGCTTCCCTCTGCGCCTCAGTGTAGGCAGCGTTGTCCTTTTACTTGTTAGTGGAGTTTCTTTTTTCTCAGAGGTTCCTGGCTTTTTTTCTTACACCTTTATAAATTATGCAGAACCCTGTTGACAGATACCATAACAGTAGGTTAAGCGATGTACTTCTATAGGTTGAATAACCAAAAAGACTATTTGCCAGTGTACTGTTGATTAAATGGCCGCAAGAAAGTGTGCCTTGTTGCTCTTTTCATTCTCTTGTTTTATTTTTGTTTGTTTCATTATCCGGTGCAATTTTGAGTTGCCAGCAGGGTATAAAATATTTTCTCCCCAATGGAACTGGGTCCCTTATTTATAGTTACTTTTTAACCACTTTGCCAGTCCTGATATGTATGCAGAAAGCACCCAAGGAGTTTATTGGCAGGTCTGATGCGGAGGCTCCTGTGTAGCAGCTGCGGGAGGGCGTGGGGCAGCCTGGCCTGGGGCTGGGAGCCCCCCGTGCTGCTCAGGCAGCCAGTGCTTTGTGCGGAGTCTGTCGAGCCCCCCGTGCTGCTCAGGCAGCCAGTGCTTTGTGCCTCGTCCGTCCGTCCGTCCGTCCGTCAGAGGCCCGATGGGGATGTGGGCTGGTGGGGAGGCTCCCACTCAAGTTCACTGAAGAGGAGGTCCTGGTGGCCACTGTTATCATTGGTCCTTCTTTCTTGGTTTTTAACCTGTACAAGAGTGAGGCAGACAGTTCTGTATATTTCTCCTGGAATAATTTTACATGTTGTAACAATGCATATGATGCGTTATAATCCTCGAGAGGTACATTTTGATGTTAGGGCTGCTAGCCTGTATTTTTTAGGAAAGTCTTTATGTGTTTGTCATTAGCGCTGCATGTAAGATGGTTGCTATATGTATCGTGAGATGTGCTCAGCCCCCTCTCCACTCAGAAGGCTGCCGTCTGTCCCTCTGAGATCTCCCGCCGGGCTGAGCGGCAGAGTCCACCAGGCACAGTGAGCCTCAGCTCTGGATGCCGTTCTCACCGCCCGTTCTCTCTTGGCTGCTGCCCCAGGCGCTCCGATTGGAAATCTGAACATGCCACTTGCTAGTTTAAAATTCCTAAGTGACTGCACCTCACCTTCAAGAAGTTCAGGTTCTTGAGCGTGGTCCCCAGAGCCCTTCCCATCTGCCCCCTCCTTTCTCTATTGCTCATGGCGCATGTAGGCCCCACACCCGCGCCACACCTCGCTCTGTGGGGTCCGGGCAGTGTCCGAAGGTCACCTGTACACCAGCCTGCGGGATCCCTTTCCCTCTTGGTCACCTGTCTGCCTGGCTGCTCAGGTGAACTGGCCGGGTTCCCTTCTAGTTGGAGTCCCGCTCTGTGCCCGCTGCTCACTGTCACCGCACTGCTCACTGTGCCTTGCCCGGGTCGCTGGGCTTTCTGGCTTCCCCTGCGGGCAGGTGTCTTGATGGTGCGAATCCAACCATCTTGCTTTTTATCCTGAGCACATAGGAAGCCCTCAGAAATAGATTTGAGTACCGACTAAAGCAGCTACGGCCCGCGGGCCGGATCCGGCCCGTTTGAAATGAATCAAACTAAAAAAAAAAGACCGTACCCTTTTATGTAATGAACTGTGCCTTGCCCGGGTCGCTGGGCTTTCTGGCTTCCCCTGCGGGCAGGTGTCTTGATGGTGCGAATCCAACCATCTTGCTTTTTATCCTGAGCACATAGGAAGCCCTCAGAAATAGATTTGAGTACCAACTAAAGGATCCTCGGAATGTCCCCATGAAAACTAAGTCCCATCCCCTCCCCAGCCCCTGGCGAACACCTCCCCTTCTCTACCTGGTCTCTGAATATGACGTGACTGTTCCCTCTGGGAGTGGCATCATATACAGTATTTGTCCTTGGTGACTTGCTTCCTTCACTCCACACGGTGCCTTCAGTTATGTGGTAGCGCGTGTCAGAATTCCTTTTTAAGGCTGAATAATTTATTTCACGTACAGACTACATTTTGTTTATTCATCCATCAGTGGATACTTGGGTTGCTTCCACTTGGGGCCATTATGTTTATTGTACAGTTTTAACATCTAGGTTTTAACTATAATGTCAACCAAAAATAATTGTGTACCTCTTTAGGTTTTTTATTTGTCTTTTCTATTTGATAGATTCCAGATCTAAAAGACAAGTTCCCGAGGAATTCACTCACTGTACCTTATTCCATGCAGTCTAAAGATATCTTTAATTTACAGCTCATGATTGCCATGCTGTTAGTTTCTTAGCAAAGGAAGACCAGCAGCTAAAAGCAGGTAGAGGATGAGCTAGTGGTGACCGCTGGACGCAGAGGGTGGGCCCCTGGGGCAGGGGAAGGAGAAACAGACGCTTCAGGGCCTGTGCGGCACAGCTCGTGCGTGAGGCGTGGAGCCAATAGGACGTGATGGACAGCTTCCTGATGGGTGACACCAGCGCCTGCTCGCAGCCCCCTGACGAGGCAGTTCTATTCTGGCTCACGAAGCCAGATCACATTTCCATCGCTCATCCCGTTCCTGTGTGTGGGCAAACACACGGCAGCTGCGAAGCTGGCAGCTGCGCTGCCCGGACACCACGTGCTCTTCTGAAGTTGCAGTTTATTTTTCACGCTCTGGGAAGGAAGACGCGCTCTTCCCAGTCCCCCGGGTCGGCAGAGGAGTGCGAAGCTGCTGT